CATGTACAGTACTTGTTTTTCATGCAAAAGGACTTCTGCTAATTCTACATTTCATCCAGAGATACAAAAAGAGTTTGATGCTCTTCTTCCCTTTTATGTTTTTTGTTGGGACTACATCTATACTGTTTCTAAGCAGGTGGATAGGCTTGATTGCTAATAATTTGCCTGTGGCCAAGCAACATGGCCAGGTGAAAATCTTTTTGGTACACTTATATTTCATTAATTATGTTAGTTATTAAATGTATATCATTACAGTAATAAAGAGAACAGAGTTGAGACCATGTGTACTTGTGAGAACAAATAGGTTGCATACTGTAGTTCCTTGGGATGTCTGGCACTGAATACAGGTAGTTCTTATCAGCTGCAGGCTACAGTTCTTGTAAGTTTTTTAAAGGAAACTGATCAAATGCCTACTATGAGGCCTTTTGCCCAGATATCTTAGATGGTCTGATTTTATGTAGCATTTCAGTCTTTTATAGACATTAGGGCCAAAGCAAGCCACTCTATTATACAAACAAATGTGATGTGTATCCAAAATGGTATCATGCACCATGCTGTCAGTCTGCAGGCGATAACATCTTAGAAAGCAAGTTAGTAAAAATTTAAATCAAAAGTTATGAAAAGCTTATAGGAACTGATAGTCTACTACTTACTATTGATGGCTGAAAGGATATAAATTTAGCCTTGTACTTGATTAACACTTGTCTGACTAAAGAGCTCATAGCCATTTAAATAATCCATGGTTATTGAATAAGCACATAAGAATGAGATCTAAGCCTTGTTTTCATTATACTATAATGGTAATACAATATATTTCCTTATAATGAAATGTTACTAATTAATGGTAATACAATATATTTGCTTCTAATGAAATGTTACTAATTAACTGACTTTTAATCTAGCTTTGCTCCAGTACTGCCTGTAACAAGAGACTGCATTTAATATTTATTTTGCCATGGAATAGAAAGAAGTTTTAATCTCAGAGTTGTAGGGGAAAGTAGTAATTTGATTTAATACTGTGGTCACAGTGCAGTTTTCAGAAGTTCTCAGGATTTTTTTTTTATAAGTGCTATCCCAGAAAAATGAACGTGACCATTTTCCAGCGGCATGCACTCACTTATATGGAATAAATAAATATTGGAAAGAGGGCCTTCTTTTGTTTAATTCCATGCATTGACCTTGTTCCTCCAACATGTTAGAATTGCGTCAGTGAAATGATCAGTGTATCATGGGAACACCAAAAAGGGGTCAGTTGGTCCAGCCAACTAACTCCTGAGGTTAAAAGTGGAGCCAGTTTTGCATATGGTAGAATTAAAATCCACCCACACAACTATTCTATGAGAACACCACAACTCAGAGCTTATTTGTTTAAATTTTTCAAGAAAAATCCAAGCCACCCCTTTACAGAATTCATTACAATGGCCTAACAGCACAGAACAATACCTATCAAACTTGAATGACTGTGGCCAAGGATTGTACATATAACAATACTACATAGAACAATAGAACAACAGAACAACGGTTGTCTGGGAGTGGCTAGCAATGGAACAAAATCTTGCTAGTACTTTTCCAGTGCCAGGACTTGTAGGAGTTCTTGGAGAAAAAGGAAAGGATTCTGTATGCCCCAAATACAAGTTGGGCTGATTTTATTTGGAGAATACAGTCCTGAAAGTAACCATGGAGGGTTTTATAGGTTTAAGCCAAGAATTTTAAATACTACCACATTAGTAGCCAGAACAGGGCCTGTAGTGTAGATATAATGTGCCTCCAATGCTGGGTGTTAATGAACACAACTAAAGTTCATTGCTAAATAATAGCTATCAATGAGGAAGGAATGATGTTAGGTGCTTAAGGCTGGTAACTTGGTTTATTCCTAAAAATATTATATAACGATCTAAATGGCTTGTTGGGTAGAAGTCAATAGTTTACTCAACTTTAGAATATAGAATTGAGTGATCAGTACAAAAGCAATACATTGAAATGGCCTGATTGTATAGAAACCGAATTAAGGTATATTGGAAAGCAATTATTTGAAAGAAGTGTGAAAGTATTAAAAGCAAGGGCAAAAACTGAGAAAGTTGCAGATACGTTTTTATTATGCTTTTCAGTAAGGTCATGACAATCCAAATGTATAATCCAGTTATTTTTGTTTTATTTTCCAGGAATCTGGTCAAAGATCAGAAAACCATGATGCTCAAATCATTACATCTCCTCTGCCATGGTGGATCCATTATGTACTCAAGAATGAACTCTTCCTCAAGTTTCTTCTTTGGCTAGTCCTATTTGGACTTTTTGTGGAACTGGAGTTTGGTTTGCCATATTTTGTCCTGTCTATGTTTTATTGGATCTATGTAGGAACTCGTGGTCCTAGGGAAAGGCAGCCTGGAGAAAAAAGTGCATATTCTGTATTTAATCCTGGCTGTGAAGCTATCCAAGGAACTCTCACAGCAGAACAGTTTGAGAGGGAATTACAGTATCGGCCTTTACTTGAGAGATAAATAGGACTAAAATTTATTATTGTATGCCTAACCTGCTGATGAATTATAGAGAATAATTTTTCTGTTCAATTTCTTGTGATATTCTGCAACATTTTTTTATTTTTAAAAAACACTGAAGATGTGAATACTGTTTCTAGTGTTAAGAGAAAGGGTAGTTATTTAAAGACTTAGTCAAACACCCATTGTTAAGCTTTTTGAACATCCAGATAGATAAATAAAATGAATAAAAGTTTATCCAAATAGTTGTTTGAATGTTTCTAATGAGAAGCAGGTTTGAAAATAATGGGGTACCTATAACTCTTAGGATATTGGAGAATCCAAAAATTGCAAAAATGTTGCCTGCTCCATTTTTTCATAAAGCAGTTTAGGAATATTCAGCACACTTTCTTTGACTTTGAAGATTAGTTCACAAATTATGAAACCCCATGATTTCAGTAGGTTTGCTTCACATTTATATTAGTGTTTTGCCATCTCATTATAGTATTTTTTGAAATAAGAAGAAACCAGAAATATTTACATATTGATCTTTACAAAGGAAACTAGTTTCTGATTTAATCTGAATGTTGCCTGTACTTGACAACAATGGAGTTTTTCTGCAATAGGATAGCAGCCCAATATAGAAATTCTTCATTTGTACTAGTCTCGTCGATAGATTATAGACTTTTGCATATCGTCTACAATTTTCATACAGCCTAGATTAATCTGGTAAGATTTGTAAAATTCAGCAAGTTTAACCAAGACCAAGTGTGTAATTCTGACATTTAATGTTATTTTAATTAGTAGCTTATACATGACCATTTTTTTTCTCCAAGGTTATTGAGTTTCCCAATTCCCCCTCTTTTTGTAAGTGGTATGAGCATCCTTTTCACACATAAACAGTCTAAGCCTTAAATATATCAAATGAATGTGGATCAGTCCTGTACCTATGACCATTTGTTCAGTGATGGAAGTTATGACAGTGCTGAATGAATTGGTCCTCAGAGTTCCAGCCATCCCAGCAACCTCACATTCATCGTGATCGGAAACAACTGGTTGCCCAGTGCTCTGTGAACTTGTGATTGCCATTTGCAAATTTCCCTACTGGCTTCTCTATTATCTTCCTTGTTCCCTCCATCTCCTAGCTTACCTGCTTGCTGGCCTGGGACTTAAATGTTCTTGCTGGCTTCCCCACCGATTTTGAGAAGCTGGCAGAAAATTACCTCACATAACGACCATGGGATTCAGTTAATGGGAGCAACTTGGAGTGCAGGGTTTACATTACTAAGCAACATGGGCGCTCTTTATGATTACATTGCTTAGTGATATAATTTCCCAATTACCATTGCCAAGGACTATGAATAATTTAGATTTGTTTGTGCCTTTGTCATGATTCTGGGTGACTATATGGATAAGGCTATTCAGTTTTCTTGGCAAGATTTCATAAGTGGTTTGCTATTTCCTCCTTCCTAGGCTGAGAAAAAGTGAGTGGCCCAAGTCTCTCAGCTGTATTTTTTAACCTGGCAGGATTTGAACTCATGGTCTCCAGGTTTTTAGTCTCAAGCCCATAACTACTATAACCACTCTTAGAGAAATACTTAGTAGTAAAATGCAACCTCACTTTTCTTTGCAGACTTGTAAATATAAAACTTGAAAAACAGATGAGCAATTAAAAATCCTAATTAGGCTAGAATTCTTTTCCCACAATGACCAATCATGTTTTAAAGAAAAATATAGCACCTATCTTATATTTCTCCTACAACTTGTACTCAGGGCCTTTAAACTGCTATCTGCTATGAGGTTCAAGATTATACAATGGTAATACTTTAAAAAATCTGCACTGGTTACTAGTTGTTTATTAGTAACTAGTGTTAAGATTGTCCAATAAAATCCTAAACAGCTTAAAGTTCGAAGAGAGATGCCTTCTGCATCCCCCTCCCCGCCCTGAATATGCAGTGTTTGAGGTTGTGTTTGTCACTTTTCTCACATTTTTGGATAGTCTATATAGACATATACTGTACATATTGTCTAAACACCTGAGAATAGGGATCAAGCACAAGCATACTTTGCCAGGCTTTTAATTGCTGGTTTAGTATTCTGTGTTGATTTATACTTTTAAATGTTTATGTTTTCTGTTTTCAATTTTATTGGTTACCTTCGGTATTCACTGGCTTAAAATGGCAGGGTGACAGTCCAAGTCAAATCTAATCAAATACTATAGGAGGTGGCAGTGTAGCCATTTCACTATTTGTTCTGAATTTGTTCAGTCACCTCAGAAAAGGGCGGCATATAAATGAAATAAAATCAATCAAAAAAATCAAATTACTCATTCACTCATCACTTCTTGTGACACAAATTCTGTTGCTTGATTGTGTAGTGTGTAAAGTGTTTCCTTGTTTCCCAATCACTCTTCCATTTGCAGTTCTATGAATTGCACTGCAAGACACAAGTTGTTTTTTCCTAGCTCCTTGGCCATTTCTTGTATAACTTTATTGCATTTATATAATTTCCTTATTTTTTCTTATAAGTAGAATATCATCTCTGTTCGTTAAAACTTTGAAACAACTTAGTAATTAGCTGCACTTTCTATCCTTCCATTTGCTTGATAAGTTAAAACCTATTTTGCCTCCGTTTACTCAGTCTAAATGTTAAAGTACTTGATTGCTTTAACAAATGATTTTGCATTGATTCCCTTTCCAGTCTTTTGATACAGGAGCCATTCTTTCATCCTCATTAGAGCATATTTCTTATTTGAGTTCTTCAAAAACTCTTGGTAGCAAAAATATGATTTCCTAATGCAAATTAGGCAATCGGATTTGGAAATTAATCATTTACTGAAGTACACTATTGAGTTTCCATAGCAACTTTCCACTTACATATTAAATTTGATAGCACAGTACTTAACTTTTTTTCTGTTCTGATGAGAACATTTAGTTTATCAACAAAACAGTCCAAAATAGCAGCTTTCTTTTGACAAACAATAGCTCTTTAGAAAAACTCCATTTTATTTCTGCTTGTTAAGCTCCTTCTTAAATATAAATCCAATGTTAAAAGGAAGAATAATCAGAGCTATTATCTATGGAAAGGTTTGCATGACTTAATACATCCCTTTGGTTTATATTTTCTGTGGATTTACAGGTTTCATTTAGAATTCATTAATGTTCTCGGATTTGAACATTTTGAGTTAAATATCCTGTTTTTAATAAATCCCTCAAAATATTTTGCCATAATTTGATATTGAAATTATAGTAATAAAAATAATCAGAAAAATCTTATAAAAGAGCAGATGATGCTTTTCATTGGTATAATTAACATTTCAGGTCGAACTTCTAGATAATGTCTCCATATTAATGTTAAAAGCTTAAGTAGCCTACAAATAGGCAAAAGAAATTATAGTACATTTGATGAAGCAAATGAGATGCGTACCAAGGGTCTAAATGTTTGTAAACAAAAAGTAAAATAAAATTGTATATCGGGTTGCCAGAGAATTAAACATTGTATACAAGTTGCTGCAGTAATTTAAACCATTGGATTGAGACCTGATTAAGTCAAACTTAAATGTAATCCTATGAAACAATTATCCAAATTCAGAGGTAAATATGTATAATCCACTTCTAATATTCAGTGGCCAAAATTATAATCTGGCATTAAAATTGCAGGTTTAAAATATTGCTTAATTTTCTTGTTGAATTACTAATGCTTCACTGGATTATATGTTTTTTCCCTTGAAACTACAGAAGGGGAATTATATTTTGTTAATAACAAAGCACGATGTCAGCTAATAAGCAGACTAAAATTATATTTAATTTTACAGAGGTGGGCTAGCATGAAAAGCACAAGGAGCTTTATTTAGCAGCATCTATGAGAAATAGATACTAGCTTCTAATGGATAAAAAATAAATAAGGGAAACAGAATTAAATAGGGTATGGCAGGAAGCCTAAAAGTATTGCTAATTACCTACATTTTACTATAACATGTAAGGTTAATCCTGCCAGCCTCATACCATAAAACTACTATCCTAATTCTAAATTTTTGAACATTTAGTCAAACCATTTACTTAACTCTGTAGCTGGATTCAACGCTTGACATTTCACCTTTTTTAAAAAAAAATGATTTTTATACTGCTTAGCTGAAAGTCATATGGACAATTTGAAATCTCAAGTACAAAGTCCATCCCAAGGAAAAGAGAGAGACAGAACATGTGTGAATGGGACTAATTTTTCAGAATATTTTATAAGTATTTTTTTTAAAGTACATGCAATATCAAACACTTTCTAAACATGAGTCAGAGAAGTAATAATAGAAACAAGGCATTCACTCATTTTTATTAATCCTGAATATATTTTAGATCCATCTGCAGTACAAGCAAGTTCCATACCTCATAAGCTGCAGTATTTGTATGTATAAACTATCAAATGCAACTTTGCTATCCATACATCTTGAGATAGAGTCACAGTGAGTAAACAGGTTGCTGGTGCCTTTAGCTGTTCAATGCATATAAACAAGCACTCATACAATACAGTACAGATTCTGAAACAAAGACATTTCGGATACAAATTGATGTGTATATTCCCTTTCTTATACCCATCTATAATAATCTGGTGAGTATTTTAAATAGATTGCTTGAAATCCCAAACATCTTATTTCTCAATATTTCTTCACCTTCATATGAGAAATAAAAGAAAATCTTGCCACCCCCACCACTACCCTCACAGCTAAATCAAGTTCTTGGAAGAGTTGCTAGCCACATTTAAAGGGTACTAGGCAACCTGTGGGCCATTTTTGGTCATCATTTCAAAGACATTTCCTTACTGAAACAGAGAAACAAAATAATACTAGCAGGCAAAAAAGTGGAATGACTTCCAACTTGTTGGCTTCCCCATTGAGTTTCTGGGACACTGGCAGGAAGTGTCAGAAAACCTTCCTTACTAACATTCCTATGGCTTCCCTATTTATTTTGCTTCTGGGAAGCTTGCAGGGAGAAATTCAGTGGGGAATCCAGCAGGAAGTTGCAAGTCCAGGACCAGCAGGCAGGTAAGTGAATGCTGCTGGGTGGGGAAGGGAATGAGGAGGTGCATAAGAGATTCAGGGTAAGTCAGGGAGGGTGCATGAGTATGGAAGGATTGGGAAGGATGCACAAGAAGTGCTGCACAGGTTGTGGAAGATGCACAGAATTGCAGCGTGGGTTGGGAATATGTGCAGGCGTGTATGAATGTGGCATGGGTCAGGGAGAGAGTACAAGAGGGGTCATGGGTTGGGGAGGACACTCGGGATGCACAAGTGGTTGGCATTGCATCAGCACAAAGGAGCTAGGAAAATTGCGTGGATAGGTAAGATCTGAGCAACATGCAAATTTCTCTGCTGGCTTCTCCATTGTCTTGTTGGAAGCTGTCAGGAAGCCTTGGAAATGAGGATCATGTGACCCTGGCTGACTGGCAGTTTAGAGCACCAGCAATAAACGAGCTGAAGTGGTCACAATATACCTGAATTTCATCCCCACAGGAGTAATTTACATTCTGTAAATTTACCCATCTGAGATACCTTGGTTCAATAATTGTTGCCCTATAATGCACCATTTTACCCAACTGAAGGTTACAAACAAACAGACAAGAGTTTTAATAGCACATAATTATCTTCAACAAATGAAAAACAGCGAACACAAGATAAGAAAATGCTTGAGCCATATAGAAGAGCTACACATTTTTAACAGCATTTTTCCTTCTAAATGTAAATTCCTTGGAAAAGGTCTTTCCAGGTTAAGGTGTATGTGGTTAGGCAGTTTTTGCTCTATTACAGGATTCCTAGAGAAGGTTCCCTTTGGAATCTGCTTTGATGCTGATAGGTTTCCATCAGGTTTTCCTTGAGCCCTCTTACATTAACCTAGGCCAGCATGGTTTGCATTACCTACTGGGAGAGCCCAATTTGGGATTTGCAAATGGTGATCAGATCTTAACTGAAATGGTGAGAAAAACAGATGAGTGAATAAACAATTTTCCATTTGAATCTAAATCATGTTTCATTTTCATTTAGAAATAAACTTGCTACCCACCAATTCAATGCATGTTTTTCATTGATCTATAATCGTTTCTTCAGGTTGAAGAACATATTTGGAGGGGCACTTTGGAGGATGCTTAGAAGATCAGGAGAGGACAAATTTTTGAGACACATAACTATCTTGATGCTCCAAAACAATGAATTAATGGGTGCTTCATGAATTGTATAGTGCTGTGAATTACACATACAGGCAATTCTTGCTTAATGACAGTAATTGGGACCAGCAATTCTACTACTAAGTGACATAATAGTAAAGCATAAAGTCATATGACTATACTAGCTTATGACAATTGTTGCAGTTCCAATTGTCATTAAATGAATCCCATGCAATTATTAGGTGTACTATCATGTGCACTATCATCATTTGCCACCTCTTGCTGGCTTGCCCACTGATTTTGCTTGTCAGAAGTCAGCAATTGTCACAAATGGTGATCACTTGAACATGATAATGTTGTGGTAACTGTATCTATAATGACCAGTCTTAAGTCTCCTCATTCAACATAGTTGTAATTTTGAATGGTTAACTATAAGTATCACCAAAAGAAATCTTTTTACGACCTTGTAATTTGGGGTACAGTTTTCTGACATCACACAGTTAGCAGCAAATATGTTTTCTTTGCACTCTAGGAGAGAAGCATTTGCTGCTACCTTCCAAGTGGGAGCCAAGCGTGCTCACTACTAGGCCACCATACTGCTCCCCTATAATGTCCCAAGGTGCTTTTTCAAGAGGCAACTGGACTTTCTGGATCACTGAGAATCTCCATAGACATTGCACCCACCTATTAAGTATCACTGAAGAATATAAAATCCCTATGTGAACTTTTAAGTCAGTGTGACAAAATAGTAAAGCTGTTGAGCTATTATCAGGAAGATACAGATTCATGTCCATCCTCAATTTTAGAAGCTCATGAGGAGACATTAAGTCAGTTTTGCCTCAGCCCAACCTACCTCACAGGATTACTGCTACTGAAATAGGAGAAGAAAATGATATGCATATTTCCTTGAACTGCTGGAAATATATTTGAGGCACAAAATTAAAAAAAATAATTTTACTCCTCAAATAGTC